TCTGTTCTGCTAATGCACGCCACAGCTAGCTATGAGGCAACAGAGTACAACCGTGCTGGGCTTATGAGGGTGGGATCTGAATTTGCATCCTGGCTGTCGTACTTCCTAGCTGTCAGTGAACCCTCTTGAGCTGGCGTTTCCTCCTCTGTCAAATGAGCCTACCTGATAGAATGGACGCTTCCTCTGAAAGCTGTTATGTTGACAGGGGTCCGGTATGCTGCCCGGTCTCCTGGTAAAATAGTCTGCCTCTGGAGTTGTCAACAATTTCCTTTTCCCTTGTCATTACATGTCCTTATGACATCATCCTATGTCACAGCATGTTATAAAGATTGGCATTTTTGTTTCTTCTGCGGTGCCCTTTCCTGCTTTGTATTGTACCTCTCCTGCTGGTTGGGGAGCTCTTTAAGGGCAGAGAGTGCATTGTATCTTCCTAAGGCCTTGGACATAGGGAAGCTGTTAGAAAGGCTCCTTTAAGGGAAAGGAGGATTCCATACCACCTGACTGGTGACATCAGTGCAGGCTCCCTCAATTGGATGCCCTGCTCCCAAGGTGCCAGGCCTGGTCTGGAGCTCCGTGATCGCTGTCATGTGGAGCTTCAGGCACCTGCGGTTTGAGCCAGATGGGCCTGTGGCTTCTGCTTCTTGAGAGACAGGAAAAAGTTCAGAGCCTGTCTCAGGCCCATCTTCTTCTGATTCAAGTAGTTGGGTGGGGTTGGCACTTTCTAGAAGGCAGAGTCACAATCCCACTTGGAACAGGAGCCTTGGTTTCTTGCCCAGTGTTCAATGGGTCTATTCTGTGGGTGAGAGTTTCCATCTTAGAGGAAAACGTCCCTTTGGGTGTGAGTTAGGAGCACCTCTAAGAGCTGCCTTCTCCTCTAACTTCTCTGTGGATCGGGCCTTCTCAAGGCGCTCTGCTTGCATGCTCCTGCCCTTGCTCTGCTGGAAGCCAACCACTCCAAGGGGATTCATTTCTGAAAGGAATAGCTCTACCACTGAACTTTCTTTTGTGTTATTTCCCCAAATGCAACACGTATGAGTTTCAGAATCCAAGTGGTTCAGCCTGGTACACAGGTGCTCCACGTTCTAGCTGCAGCATTCCTTTCCAGCCTCATGCCCGCTGCATCTCTCCACGTCCTCTGTTCCTGGCTTCACCAGATTAGTCACTTTCCCTGAGAACACCCTGAACTCATTCTCCTAAAGGCCTTTGCACATCGTGTTCCTTAGTCCTATTTTCCGCCTCCTCATGCATGGAAATACTTTTGGGTGTTCAGGCTTAGTTTAGAAGTCACATCATCTGCAGAGAACTTCCAGAGTCTCAGAAGGACACTATATGGACTTGTGCTTTTGTTGCGTGCTTTTGTTCTATGGCGTGTGTCCCCATTGAGCCTCTTCCAGCGTTCTCGGCATGGCTGACTCAGTGCCTACACCTGCTAGGACCACACACTGCCTTGCCAAGCACAGGAGGTGCTAACAAACCTCTGTTTCTGAATGCAGAACTTGTGTCAAGTAACATTTGGGCCAGAGAAGTTTCAGAAGGCCAGGCTAGGGTTCCCTATGGTTTGTTAGATCATGCACCCAACCATTAGAATTCTGAATTGGCCTGATAACAACTCATTGCTAACCATTCTTAGGGCTGTTTCCCACATACCTGTATATGTTTGCTCGGTGCCAGGGCTCTGAGCTTTTTATTCACTTAAGAATGCAACAGCAGGGTGCAATTCAGGAAGGACTTCTATGCTTCTAATACAAACATTGTTTTTATTTTTATTTTTTTTAGTTTGAAAATGTAGGCATTGTTTTTCATCTCAGAGTTCCTTGAAATATGAAAATAGCAGTGTATTTCTGCCTCTAGCAGAATAACTGTCATGTTATAGTTGTGGCTACAAATTAATAAAGCCTGTATTATGGAGCTTGGTTTTGAAAACTTGTGTTTCAGTCCTGGCTTTATCCTTTACTAACCCCAAACCACTGGGCAGGTGTATCACCTCCCTGTACCATTGAGGAATTTTTCTCATGTTGTTGATAGAAAGTTTAAATAGGGTTTTGGACATAAACTTGAAATTTTATTAGCAACCGTGTTTCAGAAACTGGATTTGGAGGCTATTTTTAAATAGTTTGCTTTTGAAGTTAAATACTTAGATAGAGACGTTTTCATAGATGTGTTTTGTTTTTTAATTGGTACAATAAATGAATTTACAATGTTAATTACTTAGATATATACATTTTCATAGATGTGTTTTATTTTTTAATTGGCAAATAATTTATATAATTGGGGGAAATATACAGGGTTTATAAGACTCAGTTTTAGTCAAAATAAATTAGAACCACAAAACCAGAGGCTTGGAGAAATCAGAGAAATTCTGGAAGAGGGTGAACATGAATTGATGCATATTGTATGTAGAGTTTTGTTCTGTACCTACCAGATATAGATCCAAGGAAGTGGTCACACAGTACGGTAAGTTGGTGGTATTAGCCCTGTTTTGTAGACGGGGAATCTTGAGCTTAGAGCAGTTAAAATGATTTAACAAAAGTCCAATATCAAAGCCTTAAACTTCACACTGAATTCATGAAGGCTTCTAGAAATCCTTTCCATTTACAGATGTGACAAGACCTGATTTTGCTTTGTTGATTTTTTTATCCTCTCCCTCTAGGAGCCACCAGTTGTTCAGGGCCAGAAAACATAGTGGGAATCTTGCAGTCTTGATGTCCTGTAACTAAATGAATGAATCTAGATGAGAAGCTTGACTTTCTGTACCAGAAATCTGCTGGTAGGATGTCTCCTTTGGGCTCCTTTGACGGTACTCATTCATCAGTTTTTACTTCTTTTCTTGCCTTTTGGAGAGATATTTGACGTTGCTCATCTCTGCATTTGAGGTCAGCTGTGTACTTGAAGAGGGCTTTATATCCTCTTTAAAAAAATACAGGTAGAAAATCAAATTCCTTAATGATTTCTCACCATTTTCCTTCACCATTCATGGGCGACCATGTGAAAAGGTGGCAGAGGGCTGAGGGTTTGAGCTATGATTCTTGTCCTGAATCTCTCACTGACCAGGCAGAGACATCAGTCCACCCCCTCCATTCCCTATGGGAACCTCAGCATCTTCATCTTTAAAGAGTGAGGGCCATGCTAGGTGATTCTTAAGATTTTAAAATTCCCCATGTTTGTGGCGTCAAAACCATCAATTTCTGCCGAGCTGCGTAATCCTGGAGCTGTTGCTCTGATACTTTTCAATCTTTAGATTTAATCTATTCAACAATGTATAATTTTTTAAAGGGAAGCCTTTATAGACAGTTCTGAAATATAAGGGTGGGGTGGGGGATAAATGGATGTTAAAAAATAGAAAACAACCAATTAAATAGTAGATAGCATGTAATTCTCCTTGGAAACTTACCGCGAAATTGAGGAGCACTTTAACAACTGGTAATTTAAATTGCATTTGAACTTTGCTAATGGTTTGTTTGCATGGGAACTTCAATCATTTCACAGCGGTTCTTTAGCAAAGCTGCTCATTCTCTTTATGGAAAAGAAGAAAAAAAATTATTAAAAGAGAAATTGGCAATGGAAAAGTGAGACCACTTTGATTTGTGCGTGGAGGGAGGCAGGAGAGACCTAGGATCCCTGGAGTCGAGGGTAGAGTGCTTCTCCTTTCAGAGAACTTTAGAAATATGGGAAGTCAGTTGGCCTTTGCTGCTGCTGATGAAGAAACTGTTTTGATTGTGTCTCTCTTCAAGAAGCTTTGCTTTCGTGGGGCAGGGGGTGGGGGTTCCCTTTTTGTCTTCTCTGGGATTGCGCTGTCCACGGATCCCATGTTGGCCTCCTGGCAATCCATTCCACAGCAAGTTTGAAATGATACCTCTGTCTCATCTCCATAGAAATGGCTTTGAGCATTCTGATTCCTTGAAGACCACTGGTTCTCAGGAAACTCATTGCTTTTCTGGGCTCATCTTGATTCTGCTTCATTTTTCTACTTTCTTTCTGTTGTTGACATACACTGGGTGAGCTTTGAGGCAGATGTTCAGACACCTGGATGTGTCAGTCCTGCTTTCACTCTGGGTGTGACTGGTTTTGTGACTGATGGCAAATCCCTCTATGCAGGGGTCTTGGTGTCCTCTGTCATTGGTAATTGGATCTAGTGTTGTAATCCCTGGACTACCTGCCACTACCACTGGGCTCCCTGGGGGTGGGTGGGGGGGCTTCTTCCTCCCTCCCCGACCCCTGAGTTCTTTTCCTGTCAGTTGGAAGGTTGGTCATTTTAAAGATTCCTCTCAACTTTGAGCTTATATAGATATTTGAAGACTGAATGAGATATTACACACAAAACAATTATAGGATTGGTTAGATAATATTTGAAATAACAATGAAAATGGGTGTGGTAGTTTTTATGGTATGTGAATTTCTCCTGAATACACAAAAAGACAGGTTTTATAACAGCCACTGCCCTGAAATACTTCTCTGTTGAAATACTTATTGTGTAATCTTTAGCAAAAAAGTAATAGTTCTTAATGAAATGAAACCTGTCATAAGGCCTTGCCAGAAAGTATCAAAATTGTCTACCTCTCTGCTGCCCACCAGCTCTCATTTTTCAGGCAAGAAAACTAAGTCTCCAAAGGAACATTAGATCCCATAGTTTGAAATTTGTCTCCAAACTCATTTCTTTTTTATTTGGTGCAGTTCAGATTTATCTGTTCATGTTTTTTCTTGTCCATAGTGTATCTAAGTGGTTTATCTCTTTCACCTTCATTATTTACATGAAGGGCTGAGATAGGAACACGGAGGCACCCGGATTCTCTTTCCTTATTATTCTGAAAAAATTAGTGGAATAAAAGTGCCAGGAACTGACGGAGTTGGGGCTGAGTGAGTATAAAAGTAACCCACTAGAGTGGTGGATTTCGAGCCTGTGTCATTCCCAATATGGCCCAGAGACTTTATCATTCTGGGAGCTTCTGAAACTTGCAGGACTTCAGAGGTTCATAAGCAGCTGCCTTCTCCCATTTTCACAGGTGAGAAATTTGCGGCTCAGAGACAGAAGACAGGATCTGGTCACCTGATTCCCAGTGCACTGCTGTTTCGGTTATTCCACTGAGCACTCATCCGAAGGAAGACGTTTTTCCTCAATTGTGAGTCCTACACGGAAAAGAAGACTTTTCTTTTTTAAAATCAATGTACACATTATAATAAGTTTAAAAAAAATCAGGGGTTTCCATTTAAAGCATGGGCACCCATAAATAGGATGGATTAAGAACTAGAGAAGAACCGAAATGTTCTTTCTTTTTTCTTGAGTTGATTTCATCAGCAATGGACGAGTTATAATAATGGTAATGAGATGTGTGGCAAAGCAAAGGCAGGGCATAGCTCTCGGGAGGCGGCATGCGGGGAAACGGGAAGGAGACCCGGGGTAATGATTTCAGGTTGCCAATAATTGCTTTGCTCCCTTCCTTTCCATTGGCATGGTGGGAAACCTTCTTGATATTGAAAGACCAGTGAAATTGTCCATGTTCTAGGCAGGTGTGAGGAAAGAGAGCGTATTACTGAGTGCCTCTTGTTTACCCCTCTGCAAGGTGCTGCTTCTTTTGTGATCTCATTATATTTTCCCAACAGCCCTTTGAGGCAGGGGAGGCTAGATTTACCTCGACAAAGGGTGTGCACCTTGGTCCTAAAGGGCCTGCCAGAAGTCCTTTGGGATCTGAGTGTGAATCTCGTTGTGTGCTCAGAAAGGAGAATGGTGGCCAGGTAAGGAAAACTGGCCGTTGTGTTTGGAGTACTTCTGTCTTAGTGGTTAGGATAGAACATCATGTAGATGGGGGAGTGAAAGGAGTCAGGGGTGTGCAGTGATCCTCTGGGCTCTGGTGAGGTCTCAGGTGACACTGGGAGCTCCAGGCTTGCACTGAGGGTTCTAGCACTGTGGTGTCCATGCTGCAGCCAATCCATACATGCCCCAAGTGTTGGCTTTAAACTGAGCAAGTAATAGACCTTGCCATATTTGCAGTGTAGTTTTCTAAAACAGGGCAGATGTCGTTATGATTAAAAAACCTAATTTCATCTAAAACAGTGACTGAGTTTACAGTTGCGTTTTGTCACTCTGTCTTTTCTTAATCAATGTGTCTTAAAAGCACAATTGACTTTCCATGCAATTTGATCGGCATATCATAAAAAGCTGGAAATCACTGGTTTGGTGCTTAAACATTATAGTCCATTAAAATTCCAAACATGGTCTGGAATATTTCCCCTTTAACCTACAGTTGAAGGATTAAAAGGGAATCTTTGTCACCTGCTTTAGCTTTTTATTTTTTTCAGTGTTTAAAATTAAATGGTGGTAAACATGAAGCCTTGCACTTAGATTTAAAACATTGAAGTGTGCTGGGTTGAAGTGGGAGGGCACTGCTGTGAGAGGAGCAAGCTGGAAGAGACTCAGAAGTTTGTGTTGTTCGTAGCCAGTTACGAGCCCGCAGTGGCTTTTGTCTCTAAAATGCTGACGCAGCCTTACGAAGCACTTAATGGAGTCTTGTATCTGGAACAAAGTGGGTGGGTGATCCGGCGAATCTAGAACACCCGGAAACTGGCGAGTCCAGAGGGAGGGTGGGCCTCAGGCCAGTCTGAGCAGGCGTCCAGCCCTGCTTCTCTGTAGAGCTCCTCCTCTCCCTTCTTCCCTGTGTTGGCTTCATCCTCAGGATGTTTGGCCTCATGGTCACAATATGGCTGCCTACTGCAACCCAGACCATGGCATCTTTCTTCCCATTTGGGGATAAGAGAGCCTTGTCTGCCATTTTTCACAGGCGTGGGTTACTGTACATTTCTGAACCAGTCACTGAGGCTAAGAGAATAAGGTTATACTACATGTGTGAACCAGAGCTCCCTTAAACTGAATTGTACACAATCTCACCCACACCTCATGACAGCTGCATAGTGAAGAAGACGTAGGCCCTTAACAAAATATCTGGGTGCTGTTAGGAAAGACAAAGGGGACTAGAAGCTATGAGGGCAACCATAGGCCTCTGACAATCTCCTTACTCCCGACAGAGCCCCTCTAGAGTGACAGTCTCCAGTCCTTATTTCACCTCTGAAAGGGACATTAGATAGCTGGTAGTGGTTCTCAACCTTCATACTGCCACAACCCTTTAATACAGTTCCTCATGTTGTGATGACCCCCAACCATAAAATTATTTTCATTGCTACTTCATGAAGTAGCTGGAATAGGCAAAGTTGGCATGAAGCAGCTATATCACTGCTACAGAGATGTTGCGAGGACCAGAAGTGATACCCACCAAGAGCTGTTGCGAGAGTGAGACTGGAGAAGGCAGGGTGCCAGGCACACACCATTGTGGCCTTCAAGGACATAAAGCCTGGCCAGAAAGGGGGCAGCATCTCTTGTTCACACGTGTGTTTCCAGAGTCTTGCAGGGTCTCTGCACACAGTACAATCATGCACCTGCATTATCATGAATGGAAAGGATCATGGGAAGGTGCTGAGCGTCCTTTGCCAGAGGGGCCTTCTGTCCAGTGCTGGCTAACTCGCTGTTGGGCAGTTATGGGAATTCTGGCACAGAGAAGGCTGTACTATGTGGTTGTATGAGAATGAAACGAATGACCAGACAGAAGGAGGCTTTGGGGTCAGTGTGGCTTAAGAAGTGTGTGAGTCCATAAAAAGCTGGTGAGTATGGCAAGATTGGGCACCGGATGGCCTCCCAAGTATTACATGGGCGACCCTACAAAAACACACCCTTCTACCCCCATTTTTCTAATGTGAGAATTAGACATGGTAATCATCACCCTGCCTGCTTCTTCTGTTAAATGACAACCAGTTTTGTAAACTATACAGTCCAGACGTGTTCTTCTTTAAAGACTCATCCTGAATACAAAGAAAAAGGCGATGTAAGAGAAGAGCTCAGCCCAGGCCCGGTGCGTAACGCCTGTTCAGTGTGCGTCCTTCTGCCAAGCCCTGTACCCTCCTCCCCAGGACAGGATGGGCACTAACTTACCTTCAGTCTTGGAAAGCAGCTGGAGCTGGAACCTTGCTTAATAAGGATGGTTAAGGTGGAAATAGAAATGTGTATTATTATTCTTTTTCACATCCATTTTTGCCTGAGGCAACATGAGGTGGCAGGAGGTAAATTTGGAGACCTGGGAGGCTCAAATCTTGAGCCGCTCCACAGAAGCTACAGTCTAGCCCGCTTGGCTTCTTGCTTTGTTTGGTTAGATAATCACACCTTCTGCTCCAGGCACGACAGACCCAGTGGGAGTCAGGAAGGAAATTATTTCCCTCTGTTGATACCAGTGTACAATTGTTGACTGTAAGCAAGGGCTTTTGGTTGTAATATTTCCTCTTTGGTCCTCAGAAGTATCAGGTATTAGTCTCCTCCGGAAGCAAAGCACCGGTCACATCCGTTAGAGGTGAATGTCTTGGCTGGCTGCAATTACTCAGTCAGGTGGTTTCTGAGCATATCTGATCATTTTCTTAGCCAGATTTTGTTATTTCCTTTAAAAATTACAAGAGGACTCTTTGGGTTTGAGTCTCTGGGGACTCTGTGCTCTTCCTTAATCCAGGGATGTCTTATAGGAGATGTGTTTGCGTTCTCTCTCTCTCTCACATACACACACACATAAGATTAAAATAACCTAGGTCTGGGCATTTTATTAGTTGTCTATTACTATGTAACAAATTATCTCAAACTTAGCCCCTTAAATCAAGAAGCATTTACTATATCATAGTTTCTGTAGGTCAGATATGTAGGAGCAGCTTTGATGGGTGCCTCAAGGTCTCTCGGGACATTGCAGCCCAGGTGTTGCTGAACCTGCAGTCTCATCTGAAAGCTCATCTGGGGAAGACGCACTACCAAGTTCACTCACATAATTGTTGGCAGGGTTTAGTTCCCTGCAGGTGGTTGGGCTGGCAGCTTCAGTTTCTTGCCATGCTGTCCTTTCCAGAGGGCAGTTCCCAGGGCAGCTGGCTTCCCTCAGAGTAAGTGAGTATGAGAAAGTGCCCGAGATGCAAGTCACTATGTTTTTATTACCTAATCCTGGAAGTGACACAGTATTCCCTCTATCTCATTGTCTTTACCAGAAGTGAGTCACTAGACCCAGCCCATTATAATGGAAGGGAATTGCACAGGGCATGAATAGCAAGAGGTGGAGGGAGTGAGGCCACGCTGCCTATTATAGATATCCCAGATGACATGGATCTGCTAAGGGGGGCGTGAGGGTTACTTGCAGCTACTGAATAAATTCAGCACACCTCTGTGGATCAATTTTACTTGAAGCCTTTTGGGGAAAAACTCCTTTTAAAACCCTTAATAGAAGCATTGAAGTATAATGCCATAGAAGGCAAAGTTGGCATGGCTTTTTAGAGGAAAAATACAAGTTATTAATTATTGCTGAGCTGCCATGCCTCTATGTTTTTTGTCCTCTTCATCAGTTAGAGCTGCTTTGGTAGAAATGTCTGAAAGTTCTCATTTGAGAACTTTGCTCAAGGTGGTGACACCCCAGGAGTTGGAGAGGAGACAGATTCTTCTGGGGCCACACAGCCCGTGGGTGGTCAGGAGATGAAGCATATGTAGGTAGTTCCCAGGGCTTTCCTTCCATTACTGCTCACGGGCTTTATAATGAGTCCATGCAACTTTGGGGCATGTTTTCTCTTCATTTTTCAACCTCTCTCCTGTCCCAGAAACAGATTATGGAAAGTAGGTCAAAATTTGGAGTCTTGGACCTTGATTTTGTCCTTTCAGTGAAATTTCAGGGATCTGCATCTCCTTGCTAGGTCATGCTAGGTTCTCAAAAGTTGCATAAATTCAGTATTAATTGGCTCAGACAGTGTGTCTCTGCTGTGTAAATAACATTTGTATTAGGAATAGAGAGCTGATACCCAGCATCACCATGACTGTGGCAGGCCCAGATGCAAAGCCTCAGCCAGTACCTCCTGTCTGGCTAAAACTTTCTTTCCTAGACTCCCACCAAAATAGTCATTTTAAAAATCAGACTTGGCAGTTTATTTTATAGAAAGTGACAGGTTCTCTTTGAGTCCACCTTAACATTCCTAAAAAATTAATGGAAATGGGAGACTTGAAATTGTGGTCGAGCTTATTAGCAGCCCCACAGCCAAAATGAGGAAAGCCCAGCGTTGGTCA